CAGGCTGCCCCCACAGCCTGCTGCACCCCCCAAGTGCTCACATCCCTCTGCACACCCCATCTGCTCCATATCCTCCTGTGCTCTCCAGCCTCCCCCCACTGTCCAGCCACCTTTCACAGGGTCTCTGCTGCTGCTGCTCCTCACAATCCCTGACTCCTGTCCAGCCCCAAGAACCACCCAGTAGCCTGGGCTCCTGGCCTTCCAGCAGATTGAAACCAGGCACAGGCTCAGCCATCTTTATTAAGGGCAGCATGCCCGGCCTCTGCAACGAAACTGAAGGGGCTCCAGCCTCCCCCCACTGTCCAGCCACCTTTCACAGGGTCTCTGCTGCTGCTGCTCCTCACAATCCCTGACTCCTGTCCAGCCCCAAGAACCACCCAGTAGCCTGGGCTCCTGGCCTTCCAGCAGATTGAAACCAGGCACAGGCTCAGCCATCTTTATTAAGGGCAGCATGCCCGGCCTCTGCAACGAAACTGAAGGGGAATGGCAGCCATCTTGCTGGCTTCAGCCCTGTTGCCAGTAATGGCCGATGGTGGCCATTTTGAAGAAGGGAAAATGCCTGAGAGGGTTTCCTTGAGACAAGTGAGAAAACTACCCCAAAATGGCAAGACTGCAATTAATACCCAGATAAGGGACATAAGAGCATCCATACTGGGTCAGACCAACAGTCCAGCCAGCCCGGTATCCTCTCCGCCAATGCTGCCAGAAGCCCTGTGATCCCTCCCGTCACCCACCTCCAGACAAACAGAGACTAGGGGCACCCTTCCTACCCATCCTGGCTAATTGCCATTGATGCACCTACCCTCCATGAATCTATCTAGCCCCTTTTTGAACCCTGCGGACATTCCTCCTTTGGCCCGTGAGAGCTCCCATGACTCCCACCAGCTAACAACCAGGGGTGGGGATTTCTTAAAGTGCATTTAAGTTTCCCCATCTGTAAAATGAGACCAATGACATGGATCCAATGTTTACAGTGCTCTGAAATCTGCTGATGAAAAGCCCTATATAAGAGCTAAGTGTTATTATTATTATTAAATTGTTAAGTGATGTAAAGAGACAACTATTACTGGAAGTGCTGCTTACTACCTAAGCTTTGCAAATATTGGATCACCCCCTCCCCCCCATTGTTCCCTCTAACTCTGTGTCCTGCCTTGAAAGTCAGCCAACATCCTCCCGCTTAAGGGGAAAGGCAAAAATATCCACAAATTGTGGGGGTGGGGGAGGTATAAGTAATAAACAGCACCATTGTGCTGCCCAGCAACATGGCACTCAGTTTATCTTGCATCAGTGTTCCCTGCATCAGTGGGCACTTGGGCGGTCAACCTGGAGAGAGTCAAATGCCACCCAGATGATTAGCAGAGTGACCACAGCTGGCAGCAGGTGTATCTACTGGTGGTGCACATCCGCACATGCTTCAGTGCACATAAAATTTATTCCACACATGGATGGAAAAATTAGAGGGAACGTTGCTTAGCTTGCACATTTACAAATGTCCTACTATGTTGCTTCCCTTTTGATCAAGGGAAAGAACCTAGCCCTGGTATTTTGAACAGAGGGAGGTGATGACTTTAGTATTAAAGGGCCTACAGGGTTGTGTCCATGATTCACTTTCCATAGAGCTGCCAACTTTCTAATTGTACAAAACCAAACATCTTTGCCCTGCCCTTCTCCAAGGCCCCACCCCCACTCATTCCATCCCCGTCACTCGTCACTCACTCTCCTCTGTTTTCACTGGGCTGGGGCAGGGGTTTGGGACGTGAGAGATGGTGAGGGCTCCAGCTGGAGATGTGGGCTCTGGAGCGGGGCTGGAGATGAGGGGTTTGAAGTGCAGGAGGGGGCTGCAGGTGCAAGGGGTTGGGATGCGGGTGCAGGTGAGTGCTCCAGGTCAGGCCCAGAAACTAAGGGCTGCAGGGTGCAGGATGATTCCAATCTGCAGCAGGGGATTGGGGCATGAGAGGGGTGCAGACTCCAGCCAGACAGCACTTATGGCTCCTTGGCGCAGAGGGCTCTGCATGCTGCCTGCAGCCCTGGGCACCAGCATCACTACACCCATAGGCCGTGGTTCCTGGCCAATAGGAGCTGCAGAGTCAGTGCCCAGGGCAGAGACAGTGTGCACAGCCTCCCTGGCCACCCCTGTGCCTAGAGGCCATGCGGACATTCTGGTCACTCCCAGGAGCTGTGTGCAGCCAGCACAGCTAGGGAGCTTGTGTAAGCCCCAATGCTCTGCCAGCCAGACTTCAGTGACCAAGTCAGCAGTGTTGACTAGAGCCACCAGGGTCCCTTTTTGACTGGGCATTCCGGTTGAAAACCCAATGCCTGGCAACACTAACTTTTAGGCAACAAGGGATTTCTGGAGGAGACAGGTGATAAAACTGTTACTGGCAACAAGGTTCTCAAAAATAAAAGCTTGAGGTGGGATCTGCAAGGAAGGAACCTACGTCATTTGATAAGGAAGGAATAATAGAGCTTTTGTTTGGCCTGAATGGGATCTGCCTGTGTTTACTCACACAGAAAAAAGACTTCCTGAAGCTCCAAGCACATAGTCTTTTCCGTCCTGGAGCTCACTGCAGTTCTGCACCCACACCTTCCCTGTGCTCTGAAAGCTTTTATTTTGCCAGTGCAGTTTACTCTATGGTTTTGTGGTCTCAGCGTGGCTGCAGAAAGTGTCTGGGTGTGTGAGAAATGCGCCCTATATAGGATTAGCTCTCTGATGCATCGGGGAACATGGCACGGACTCATTTGAAAAATCAGCCACTTGATATCATATGACATCTATAGTGTCTATAGGAGATATTTCCTTGCATCTTGTGGAAGAAAGAATCCAGATTTGGGAAAGTCTTTCAGTTTTCCTGCACATATTTTATCTGCACAGTTAACTATGGCAGGAGATAAAAAATCAAGAACTGCAGAGGAGATAAAAGGCAGCAACTACGGGTACTGGCAGTATTCATTATTAGAATCAGGGTAGCAGCTAGAGGCCCCAGCCAAGATAAGAGGCTCATTATGCTAAGCAGCTTACTTACCCACAGCAAGAGACGGGTCCTGTCCGAGAGGCAAAGGGAAATGGAACCTAGAAAAAATAAGTGACTTGTCCAAGTCACACAGGAAGCCTGTGGCAAAGCTGAGAATAGAACCCAAACTGCCTGTGTTCCAACTGCAGCATCGTCCTTCATTTTTCCACGGCCTTGCTTTACACTGTGAATGTAACTCATCCATATTGGGATTGGGGGAAGGAGTTTAAAATGCAG